ATATGAACACGACTGCCGATCCATAGGGACCGATCCAGTAAATCAGTTAGTCGCTTTGTGGGGATGCACCGAATGCTGAGTTTACAGAGTAAACTACAAAACTGCTTGATGAATACAGATAGCTTTAAAAAAATTAATATCTGGAAATTGCATTGCACAATGCCCATAAATGAGGAAGGCATGAGAAAGAAAGTGTGGTTTGAATGGTGTTGTACAAATGGGCTTTGTGTTGAGAGGTCCAAATTTTCAGTTTTGAATCCAAACCATGTCACTTAAATGTTTCATGTAGATCTGTTTTAATTTTAGGCTTTTACGTTAATTTTGGAGTTCTCGCATGAGGCCTCCATAGAGGTTTTTCTGTGTTTACTAAGCACTGGTAATCTGCATGAGTGTGCATGCTTAGTCATTGCATTTTTTTTTTAAGGACTGCTGAAATGGGTGCTCATTTAGGACTTTAATTAAGACTAAATGCGCTTTCAAACTCAGCGATACGGTGCAGCCTTCATTTTCAGGAACCTCATTTTTCAGGAACCTGATGATCTAGTCTTTCAGCACTGCATGGTGAGACACTGAATGAACACACAGTCCATGGAGGAATACTGTGAAATGATCAATGAAGGGTCATAATGCCTTTCTAAAATTTACATGTAACTCAAGTGCTGTCTTTCATATTACACATTTGTTTCTCGCTCATTCGCTCTTGTCCCTCTCTTTAGTGTATTCGTTTTATTTCCGTTGAGGAGAAAAGAAAGAAAAAAAAAAATTGTATATTGTAAAAAAATTGTTTTCATTTCTGAAAAGCGCAGTGACCTTTTTCTTAATTTACCCAAATTGTCGAGTTGTATTTTCTGCATAATAAAATTATTTGAAAAGGGCACTTTAAATTAATAGTTTACTCAAAAACTCTTATTTACTCATTCAAAACTCTGATGTTTTTTTTTCTTCCATGGAACTCAAAAAGGAGGCTTTTTTTTAAAGAATATTGAGAGCTGATTTCCATATATCAAGATATAGGCCTACATAAAGGTGGTCCATATATCTTGTGTTGAACTCTGGAAACAGATCATTAAATTAATCATTCTGTTGATCCAGTTCTTTTCTGTGAACTGATTGATCTGATTCACAAATCAGACTGATTTGTTCCGAGTTCAGCACACTAACTCACAGTTTGCTGGAGGGAAAGTTTATTGGTGAATAATGGTTTAAATTTCAGTACGTTTCTCACACAAAGCTCACTGTTAAAAATTTCCTGTAGAAATTACAGTAACTTACTGGCAGCAGTTCGCGAGTAACTTACTGTAAATTAAACTTACAGTAAAAAGACTGTATTAATATTTACAGTACCATTTAACTTGCTGTAAATGTATTTACAGTATATTACTGTACTTTTACAGTTTTTACTGTAAAATATACTGTACTTTTATGGTCTTTTCTCCAGTAACATATTGAAATACAAGAAAAATATATATATAATTTAACTGAAAATAAGCAATGACAACTGTATAACTTTTAATGTTTTAATTGTTCAATTGTAATCCTTGCAATAACATTTTAATATTTTCACAGATTCAGTTACGACTCAAACAAAACATTGTTATAAACTATTATATACATTACATACTATTCTAACTATTATAGTTAGAAAAAATTCTTAAAATTTATCCTAAGCACAACATATTATGATAATAGTGAATAGTGACGATAGTGAATCTTCAAAAAGAACTCAAACTTTTGTTACACACAAGAAGCATGGACTATTTTTTTCAAAGCTGCCAGCTGAAATACACAAACTCCTTAATAAAGGAGGACACATGAGGGTTCAGGCCAGAGTTTCTCCTTTGCACCATCTTCCCACTTCTTTTGCTGATCTGGAATTTTGCAGAGCACGTGCTGTTGACAGGATTGATCCTCGCAATGAACCTTCACATAAAAGAAATAATTCATTAGACCATTCTTTGTAAAGACTTTTTAAAGCATTAATTCAGCCAAAATGAAAATCTTATGTTGTTAAAAACCCATAAAACTGATTCATTATTAGAACACAAATGAAAATTAATACTGTGTAATTTACAGAAATCGCTAACAGTGAAATAGCTTCAGAAGACTTGCAATAGAGCGCATTAGTCACATGGACTGCTTTTATGGTTCTTTATGGTAGTTGTTTTTTTGGTCACACTTTGTTTTAAGGTCCAGTTCTCGCTATTAACAAACCATTAACTACGACTTTTGCCTCAATAAACTCCTACTTTGCTGCTTATTAATAGTTAGTAATAGAGCCCGACCGATATGGTGTTTTTTGGGCCGATACCGATATTAGGGAGTAAAAAAAAAAGGCAGATATTCTTTGTGTATTTTATAGTACAGTACCAGTCAAAAGTTTGGACACTTTCCCATTCGTGTGTCCAAACATTTGACTGGTACTAACTGGAATCATGGCGGAATTTCATGTGAAGTCCACTTCGCAGGGCACTTACGATCGAATAAGACAACGCTTAAATGCTGCTGCCTGAACAAGAGGCCTCCTTACTGATGTGAAAGTGTTGACTGGTGTCACTATCTTGTGAACGTGCTGGTGGATCTCCACCAAATTCGGGGGATCCCTTCAGCTCGAGGAGCCCTCTCGAACGCCACCCTCCGCGCGTCGGTAGCCCCCCGGGATCGCTAAATCGGTCGGCGCCGGACAACGAATTTAACCACCTGTAACTCCCGAAGCCCGGGGGATATCGACGTGGGGGTGGTCTTATTCAAAAGAGGGCCTCTAGACGTACACTCGATTCGCGTTCGATAGGGTTCCTCGAGCTGAAGGGATCCTCCGAATTTGGTGCGGATTCGCCTCGCCGTTACGAGATATGGCCGTTCAAAGTTTCAATGGTTTTCCATAGACTAAGCTTTAAAACGTTTCATCCAGGTCGCCAGTAGCAAACAATGGAGCGCGCTCTGCTGGACAAACTAAGTAATTACACCATTTCAAGCATTTTATCTGCGTTATATGTTCTGTAAAACAATTGTCATATCGGCGGCATATTCGCCGATACCGATATATCGGCGACAGGCTCATATCGGCCGATAATATCGGCAAAACGTAAGGTAGTTGTTAAATTTAGGTATTGGGTAGAATTAAGGATGCAGAGTATGGTCATGCAGATTATGTGCTTTATAAGTACTAATAAACAGCCAATATGCTAATTATATGGATGCTAATAAGCAACTAGTTAATAGTGAGAATTAGTTGCTATACTAAAGTGTTAATGTTTTTTTTTCTAGCTTCACAGACATGATTTCTTTGAAGAGTTGTACGGAAAACAGCTGTGTACCTATTCTTCTAAAAAAAAATTTTTGTTTGTTTCAGAGGAAAAATAACAGCATACAATTTTTGAATGACATTAGGATAAGTATATAATGACAGAATATTCGTTTTCACAGAATTAGCGCAAAAAAAGAGAAACACACCCCTCAGGCCACTCGTGACTGTCTAACCTTGTTCATCTCTCATGCGTTAGTGTCCCTGTAGACACATCTTCAGGGGGTAGTTAAAAGCCTGGGCTTAATTTAACCGCCAGTTTAAGTTCCCTTCGTGTCGGATAGGCTCTGCTCTCAACGCTTCACAAGGCCTCCACTTAGTCAAAACAACTGTTAATTGACAGGCAGAACGACCCTGAACAGCCCTTGAATAAAACATGAGAGAGGTTGGAAGTTACGCATGATCAAGTGGGAATTTAGAGGAAAGGGAAAGAGAAATCTGTAGACTCATAGCTCTCCCTTTGCTTACAGTTCATATTTTAGACTTCTTGCTTATCACGGGCTTTAATTTTTCTACCCTAAACGGGTTTAACAATCAGACTCTAATCAGCCGCTAGTCTTCGGTCCGTTGGAAACCTAGAGGAAAGACTGCTTTGTGGTAATTAATAATCTTTTGTGAGCACAGCGTGCCATAGAAAGATTGAAAGCAGAGAACAAAATGAAATTATTGACTTCCTTTTCATTGCCTTGGCTCCCTCCTGGGTTTCTGCTTTTTAGGCTGAGAACAGCAGAGCAAAATCATGGCTTGTGCTTGGGATGGCAGCCTACAACAACACTTGATAGAGACGTCTACTGCATCTGTGTTCATAAGCTCCATTCCAAGCCTTAGCCTGGCTAGTCAGCATGTTAAGGCATCATTGGCATGCTCCCCTATGCTGAGGCCATTTTAAACAATAGGCGACAATAATATACCCTGTTTTGGTGAAATTTTACTTTATAAAGCATAGGCTGTAGACAGCAAGCCCTAGCTTTTACAGCAGAACCGAAATTTAGTTCTTGTGCTTTTCACGCACCTTATCAGCCTTGTCACAAGCGTTCTGCTTTTGGAGGAAGTATTACTCCAAAGTGGTAATGTTTGAAGACATGTCTAAATGTGGAGTGGCTCGGAGCTGAATTTCAGCCAGCCGTTTAATGGAAGCGAGCGAGCAAGAGAGCTCAGAGAGAGGATGCCTAGAGCCACAGCTGAGACAAAGACACGCTTAGAGACGCAGACACACACTGTGTCCATTCATCTTTCCCCAGAGGGGGAAAAAAAGAAAAACACACATGCACAGAGTGAAGATACATCGACAGGGTGCTGCTGGCCAGTGACCTGAAAGGGGAACGACAGCGCAGCAGACGCGGTCACAGTCACAGCGGGGGCTTCTGGGTAACAGGACATCTCTGCTGCGACACTTCATCTTTCACATCAAAGGCCTTTGTGCATCCCTGTGTTATTCTACCCTGTTAAAACGCATCATACATTATCAGACCAAGCAGCTTTTTTGGCTTTCATGTTGCTATATTTTGCTTCGAACAATGGGGTTGTTTCCAGGCGGTGTTTTTAAAAGGTTTTCAATGAAGATGTCATGAAGGCAGGCAGCTGTAGATGAACCAATCAGTAGGATGCGGCTGTATCAGGGTTCTGTAATGCAGATACTCACTATACTTCTTGATATATTCATGGGCAAAGCTAACTTCCTGTCATTTCTGTGTTCTAGATGATGAAACATGCGTGGGACAGCTACAGGCAATACGGCTGGGGACACAACGAGCTCAAACCCATCGCCAAGAAAGGACATTCCACCAATATCTTCGGTAAGTAAGCACATGCATGTTGGAGTCTCATTTACATGTAAATTACTGCTCTTGGGGGATGATTTGGTTCAGGTTGGCAAGGACAGACACAGGCAATCCCATCTACATCCACTTTTGTGTGCCATCTGCAGCTCGCACTCTCGAAAGATGAGACGTGCTTGTGCAGTTCGCCGTCCCTATAATCATTTTTGTGTTTGTTTGTGTGTGTTGTTTATCGCTGGCTCTCAGCTGCAGAGCTAAACAAGATTCGACTACTGGGACTGAATCTGATCTGTGTGTGTACATGCGAGCGTGCTTGAACAAAGAAATCACAATTGATCCTGTTTGCGTCTTTCTTTGCTGCTTATGTAACTAAGGCTGTGTGTGCAGGGAAAAAGAATAGTATAAAATAAATAGTTCTGAATCCTGATAGGATGAGCTGCATTGAAAGCCATTGTGAAATGCAGATAAACAAACCTTTGACTGCACATTCTTAAAGGAATATTTTACCCAAGAAGGAAAAGTTTACCCAAAAATGAAAATTAGCTGAAGATTTAGTCACCCTCAGGCCATCTGAGTTTTTTTTTTCATTGGAATAGATTTGAAGGAATTTAGCAGTTTTTCACTTTCTGTCCAATGGATTGTCTGCAGTGAATAGGTGCCATCAGAATGAGAGTGCAAACAGAGTGCAAATCAATTAATGTCTTGTCAAGCGAAAAGCTGTATGTTTGTAATAAAATAATCATTAAGACATTTTAATCCTCTATCCATAATATTACTTTCTCAAGTGAAAAGTTGTTTAGTCTGAATCAGGAGAGAAATATACAGATATCAAGCACCGTTTATAAGCAAAAATGGTCCAAAACAGTTCTAAACAAATGTCTGTGGATTCTGACATGAGAGGACAACGAGTAATGGACTTTTTGCTAGGAGGAAGCAATATTACGGACTCGTTTAAAGAAAGGGGGTTTTGGAATATATTAATAAATACCTACTTTTTAAATGAGCCAATCACGTCTCGTCCTACCTTATTTCTGAATATTTTCAAAACTTTTCACTCAAATCTCATCACATTACTAAACTTTTTGTATGTGTTTCATTTTCAATGCTGTTTCATTTTGTCTTTAAATATTTAGTTTTGCAAATCGACCTCAAGCAGTTTTCCTCATAAACTTGCTACGTAAGATTTAGGATGAGGTTTTATTTGTTCTTTCTTTGAGATACCAGTGAGACACATATGATGCAATTCTGTGGTTTAAACAAAATATGAGGGTGCTTTTGAAGAAGAACAAAGATATGAGAAGGAGAGAGAGTGTGGAAGAACAAGGGAGATGTGAGAGACTCGGCACCTCATGCTGCAGTGCGGTGTGTTGAAGTGTCTTTCACACTTCAGTTTCATATTTAATAAGCCTCTCTGTTTCTACCTAACACGTGGAATGAACTCCTCAGCCATACATGTATCGATCACTCTGTTTGAACGTACGTAGGTGTGTCTTGGATAGAATCTGGAGGAATCTACTTCTGGATGACTTTGCTCTTCTTTTCCAGAGGTTTCACTCTCATATACCCTGAACACTGTGTGCTTTGCTCCATCTGAAGTTCTGTCTTCAAGTGAAGAGAAACACCACTTCTCTATTCAAAAGCACTGTTTATGCCGTTGGTTGAGCCAGTGTTCCTGTGTCTGGCTGGTCGGGATGCTCAAGCAAACACAGTACTTATTAAACTATGATAGGAGAAAGTATTTTAACATCCAAAAAATTATGCACTTGTCTTTTGAGTTTGCAAGATCTTTTGATCACTTTGTCCTATTTTAATTGTAATTATGTTGGCAGGCTTGTTTCGCACACCCAGATTAAACTCAAATCATGAGGAAAACTTTTAGTATAAGCTCACTCATTAATAATGGCTCTATAAATAGTTTAGGCAGCTTTTCTGGTTCAGGCTAGCAAAAAAACAAAACAAAACAAAAAAACGATATATTATAATTCCACAAGCAACAATTGTAATAAGAGGAAAGAGCTTTCAAATGAAGGAAATGTTTTAAAAAAAAAAAATTTCTTAAAATTAATTCTAATATACCATAAATTACATGTGTACACAATGTATTTACTATATTATTAACAAAAAAACTATATATTATAATTCCACAAGCAACAATTGTAATAAGAGGAAAGAGCTTTCAAATGAAGGAAATGTTTAAAAAAAAAAAAATTTCTTAAAATTAATTCTAATATACCATAAATTACATGTGTACACAATGTATTTACTATATTATTATATAATATTTAAATATAAATAGGTTAAAAGATAAACAAGCTTTCATTTCCTAATTCAAATGCTCTTTAATCTCACTACAATTGTTGCTTGTGGGAATATCATGTTGTTGTTTTTTTTTTGTTTTTTTGGCTAGCCTGAAATAGAAAAACAGCCTAAACTATTTATAGAGCCATTATTAATGAGTGAGCTGGTGGTGCTGACAGTTTCATAATGTCACTTTCTGTTGACTGAATTTATCCTCCCCACCCTACATCTATGATGTTTGCTGATGTATTTTAGCAATCTGACAACATTACAAGTGGGTTAGAATGGATTGTTCAACAACTAAATAGCCAGTTAGTGCCGCGAGTTTTACCTAGGTTTTTTTTCTTGGTTGCTTAGCCATAATATTTTTAGAAGCAGTGATTTTAGAAACATTGATGGCGCAGCATACTAAAAACAGGCTTTTAACATTCTTGTTGTTTTGATGTCCATTAAAACTTTTCAGATCATGTTAAAACCCTCTGCGGTGGGTTGGGTTTGTAAACTCCTTGCCTTTAAAATACTCTGCTACTCCATCAAAGCACTGCTTTTGTAAAAAATCCAGTGCCAGTAAATGTCAAAACAATTACCGTAGGAGTTCATGTTGTCTGCTGTGAGTGACGTTTCCATTATTATGCATAATCCGCAAGGCTTTTGTGAGGATTATGATAGTTTTGTGCAATAAAAGGTTATAGTTTTGTCCAATTTGTTGTGTATCTGTTAGTTAATTTATTGCTACTTATCTGACCTGTACCTGGTGGACTGACCTGTTTCTGGTGGACCAGACTAAATTCACTATTACTGCCTATTTTCATTTGCAGGACAGAGAGAGAATTCATATTTCTCAGGAAACCTTGCAAACATTCAGCATTTAGAAACATTATTTAGCCTAATACTGCAGACAAATCTATGAGACAGTAAATACAATATACAAAAAACACAATGCATAATGGATGAAGTAAGCATAAATGGCAACATCCTTAACATTTGTAAAGTGAATCTGGACTTCACCCAAAAATGATTTTTTTCCCCCTTACATTCATGTCGTTCTAAAACCAAACTTTTGTCTGCTGAACGCAAAAGAAGATATTTTGAAGAACTTTTTCTGTCTATAAAATGAAAATTCAACATTGGACCCCACTGTCTGAAAATCAACATATGAATTGTTGGAAAATTCAACAATACATAAAAAAAACAAACAAGTGTTTATGTTCCACAATAGTTCATGTCATGAAGGTTTGGAACAACATGTGGATGAGTAAATGATTTTTGGGTGATCTATCCCTTTAAAGACAATCTAGTCAGCTAGTTTTGTTTTGTACATCCTTAATTGTAATCTTTGTGACATTCCAACAAGCCCTTGTTGGGTAGACTATGTTTCAAAACACATTGCCTTTCATGTTCAAACCATGTTTAAGAGTACTGATCAGCTGTGATACCACACTAGGGCTTTGACCACTTGGCTGTACATCTGACGTGTTGGTCAAAAGGACTCTGACATTCCAGTGGTTCACTGTTGTGGTGGGACAAGGACTCGCCCATATTGATCCTTGAATCGATATCCATTGATTTTCTTTGTGTGTGTGAAAAAACTTTTGACCCATAAAAGCCTGAGACTCTGCTGCTGGAAGGCACTGTCTGGATAGATTGCTGATGGTGAACACTTTGATCTGTAAACAAACACCCTGTTTACGGGGAATATTCTCAGACCGGACCCCAGGGTCAGATCACGTAACCCAACTGCCAACGTTACGCATGTGATAACACGATACTAAAATAACCACGTTAACATGTGGTCACACTGCGGTGCAATCTGTTTCTGATGTATTATGATTTAATGCTTAAAATGGAGTAGGGCTGAGCGATCAAAAAAATCATATCAGTATTTTTAGGCTGAGTGCTGATATACACACACTGTATTTTCTACAGGTTTTCAGTTTTTATTTATTTTTTAAATTTTTGGTATTTGTTTAAAAAATAAAAAAAAGGTCATTTCACACCCGGTCCTAAAATAATGTGCATATTGAACGCTATGAAAAATAGTGCTTGTACTATAACTACATAGGCTATGCAATATTTTATGTCCAAAAAAGGTTAAATTTGCATTACATTCTAACATAACAATATTACAATATAAAAACAAAACAAAATGCTGTTTAAAGCAGAAGTTAAAATCACTAAAATAAAGATGAAGCATAGTAATAATATTAGCCTATATTTGATTTACCCCATTACAGTGGTCCCTTTACAGTTTCTGCTATCATAAAAATACACTGGGCCCTATTTTAACGATTTAAGTGCATGGTCTAAAGCGCACGGCGCAGGTGCACTCAGGGCGTGTCCGAATCCACTTTTGCTAGTTTAACAATGGGAAAACGGTCGAACGGGTTGTCCCTATTCTCTTAATGAATAATGGGTGTTTTTTTGGGCGTAACGTGCAATAAACCAATCAGAGTGTCATCTCGCATTTGCTATTTAAACAACGCGGCGCAGCACGGGAAAATGAGAACTGCGTCGGGCTGAAACTAGCTAAAACACTTGCGCCGCGCATTGTGCCGGGTGTATGATAGGGCCCACTTACTTGTAGGTTTAAAATGCTACATATGGCACACATAATCCAAAAACAAATATTTTAGCTGTTTGGGGCGCATGTACTGTATGTGGCGGCGCTCATACACTGAAGTCTGTATGATAAGACTTGTCCACTCCTGACAGGAAAAAGA